CGGAAAGCTTCGAGCGCTGGCTAAAGACAGTACCGGAAAGCCATATGATCGTCTTCTCGGACGGCTCCAGGGCGACGAACGGAGCCGTGGGGTACGGCTTCGTCATCTACCGAGACTCCAAACGCATAGCGCAAGGGTGCGGCCGACTCGGACTAGCAGAAGTGTTCGACGCCGAGGTCGAAGGGGCGCGAACCGGCCTCAGAAGGGCTCTGCTCACCAATCGCGGTCATCCAATCCACATATGTATCGACAACACCAGCGTTATACAAGGCATCCGCGGCAAGGCGCCGGACTCGTCACAAGACGCGTTCCTCGAAATCCAAGAAGCGGCCAGGATATTTGATATACGGACGCACTGGTCCCCGGGACACCAGGGCATCGAAGGAAACGAGGCCGCGGACCGGCTGGCCAAAGAAGGAACGACACTGCCGGCGCGGATGGGTCAAATGGCAACACTAGCGGGCATCAAGCGGCTTGCAAGGGAAAAATTACAAAGCCAGCACAGGAGATGGTGGTATAAAGAGCGAAGGCCGCGGTACGCGGACTTGGGGCTTGAGGCAGCTCTGTCCAGCCCTCCTGAACTGGCCTTGCCGCGGGCTACGTTACATCACCTGCTGGCGGCACGATCGGGTCACGGGGACTTCGAGCAATATCACCGACGTTTCAACCACGACGACGCTCTAATGATGTGCTCTTGTGGAGAGGCGAAAGACGTGGACCACCTGGTCTACTGTCGACTAACGCTGGCGAGGAGGCAACGGTGGCCGACCCTCCACTCTCGCAGTATGCCCGAGCCCATAGGTCCTATGGGATCTCTCGAGGCCTACTTCAAGAGATTAATCACCGACCCACGAGGCTTCGAGGCCTTTCTCCGCGTGACGGACTTCTTCCAGAAGATCTGTCTGCGGTAGCAGCATCCACACCTAGGTAGATGTGAGTGCGGACTACAAAGAACCTCCCGATTCCAAGGGACGATTTGGGAAAGAATGAAACTGGGGCACCAGCGGGAACCGGGGACAGACAGAACGCGTAGTGGCCACAAGGCATGATTTGGAGGACGATGTAAAGAGACGACGTACTGTAGAGTAGGTAGCCTTGGCTCACGGCCCTCCACGCCATATACCCTTCGGGAGGTCTGCGGTAAGGGCTCTAGCCCGGCCGCCACGGCGTTAAATACAACAACAACAACAACAACATATTCATTGAATCAACTAAAGCTCCCACAAATGTGTTTCAAGTTCAGCTGTTCACCTCACCCAAAGCAGCTACCCCGTCTAGTCCCGGGCCCTAGGCCTGCTGACTATAAGAACATACGAATCGCCTCATACCATGTGTCATTCACTAGAAATCTACCATCTACCAAATACGCTTCAAAATTTTCACTTCATATCATACCAACACAGCTACTAGATATAGGAAGAACATACAACGACAAATCTACTTAATTCAGCAGCGCAGCTTGCTGAATAACAACAGAGAGTAGTAAGAAGCGAAAGCGCACCAGAACTAGCAATCGTGTTGTTCGCCAACAGAAAAGAATCACGTATCTCTCTCTACCAGAACTCAGCCATCAGAAACCTTGACAAGCACTCGGGCGACCACATAATGGATTATGATATCGATGAGGTCGGCGGGCAAATCAATCCCACGCGACTGAAACAAATACTCATTGAATATCCCGAAACGATAGAGGCATTGAAAGTTGCAATAAAGAACATAGAGACGCAACAGAGCGAGGTTGAAGCAAAAAAAGAAACAAGTAAAAACGACGAGAAAGAGAGCATAGACGCCCAGCTGGCCGAGCTTCAAAAGCAAAAGGATCAAACGCAAAAGGACCTGGACCTGGTAGTTCAAGGCCTGGAGGATGCCAAGTACGCTTTAGGTGAACCCGAAGATGAGGAGGAAGAATAATCCCGCGTTCTCAGTGGCAAACATGCAATTCCATACACAAAATGGTGTCGAGGTCACACTCAACCCACAGCTCTTCGGCACATACCCGAGTCATCGTGATGACATGCGACCTAAGCCGCCTACCAGAGGTGTCAAACACAATCAACCTTTTTCTTATCGCCTTCTTATGAACTGGAGGAACGTTTCCCTGCTGCATTTGCGCATAGTCAATCATTTGAGCTTCTATATATTGTCATGATTGGTTAGTGTTTCCTTGGATCGGTCTCTTCAACAACACTGTCTCTACCTCCACCAAAGAACGAAAATCAAGTCCTGTAGGTAGAATACCTACTGGCAAGAAAACTCAAAAAATACAATCATCATTATAAAAAAGTTCTTTGTTTTAAATCAGTCTAAATCTTGACATGCCGTTATATCCCCCCAGCGGGAGTGGGCGTGGAAGTGGGGGTAAAGAGCATCGTGAACCACCAAAATGAAATGCTTCAAAAAGCATCAACCCAAAAACATACAACACCAGGTATTCGCTGGTCGTCACCGACCCAACTACTAATCCGGCCCTCATTGGCTTATCTATGGGAGAGCGGACGGGATCCCGAGTTTTCCAATGGGTATGGTCGTATGTGGTGGTTCGAAGTGTGCAGATTGATCATGAAGTGCTGGCCCTGCGGAGCAGGTCTGGGATTCAGCGCCGGCGAACGGCGTCTTACTCTCTGTGAATTGTGAGAGCTCCTAGATGTAAAATGCAACTGCTTGGTCTGAACTAGACACAAGATATTATGACCTAGTGAGAGGGTCCGGTCAGATCATCATCCCCACGTCTCGTCATGCACAGCATGACGAATGGCCCCTACCGAATCTTGTTGCAGAACAGCACGCATTTTGCTGCAGAATTACCTGCCATATCCGGAAGCTGCATGATTTAGGCTTGCTATCATTAAGGGACTGAAGTTGTTTACATTTGCTTTGATATCAAGAGCTCTCAAGAGCTTTCCTGCCTCTGACCCCCAGACTGAACTGCTCTATGGAATGGGTGCACTATGAGATCAAGCCAGAAGACTTATCACTAGGCAGACTTGATTGAAGTTATCTGTACGTTCCTCTAAGCGTTTTTGCTGAGTATCTATCATTCATTCATTTACCGAAGTACTTATTCGTTCGATTTTACTGGCTCTTCAAGTAAGGACTACCAGACAGCTGACATGAACCCCGGGGTTCAGACTGCTACAGCTGGCCATGCCTATAGCCATCCGTCAAACTTGTTCTAGCGGCTGCTGCGCGCATCTGGCTGTCCAGATCGACGTTAACGGCCTGAGGAGGACGGCGACCTACCACATCATTACGCGATGGGCAACACAAACCTCCTCGGGAGACCGACCAAAACTACCAGCGAGCTTTCGAAGCAAGAGATGACCGGAGGGACGCCTGCACTCGATGCGAAGATCAGAAGGTCCAAGCCCGAGGCGGTCTGCTTTGTTGGCAAGGGAATATGGGAGGCAGTCTGGCGATGGAGGTACGGGCGTGATATATATATATATATATATATAGATGAGAACCTAGGGAAGAGCGTGGATGGCGTTGAAGAGCTGGACAGTCGAGGCAGGGTATGGAAGGGAGCGGCGGTTTTCATGACGACCAGCACAAGTGGGCTTGCGGCGAGCCTATCACTTCAGGAAGAGAAAGCTATCTGGAAGGCCCACTGTTTAGTTAGGAAGAGATGGTGTTTGTATTGAACATGGAGCGAGATTGATGGTGGCACTTTAGCAGGTGGCAGAAGTCTGATAAGAAATGACTGTATAAGAAAGATGAATGGTTTCCCTCGTGATGTCGCTTATTTTTGTCAGCCATGTAGGTATTCTTGGGCTTGGCTCTGCGGATCTCGAGTGAAGTCAGCTCGCGGCAACGAAATCAGTTACCGGAACAAGGATTATCTATGTGGGTGCGGCCATGTCGATTTCGCACCGCCAACGCCCGCAGCCGCACCAACTTCTACACCCGCTACGAAATTACAAGGAAGTCCATCGATTAATATGATCTGATGGGACGATACGACGAAGAATGCTACTGTAGAACCTTAGATGCATTGTTTGTCAGGAGCACAGCTTCTCACGTCCTTCGTTGCCGTGAGTTGGACAGGCCCAGCTTGGCATGCAAATGACGGAAAAAGCCACTGGCTCCCGTAGCAAATCAGTGTGGTTGAGGAGCCAATCATGCAACCTTCTCGTTCGTATTGCCGCCCCTGTAGTCTTTTATTCAGCGTATGAGGCTGAGACGAGGATCGCAATTTGATATCAACCCTAATGACTACCTAGCCATGGCAAAATTATGTCGCGCTCTGACAGGGTGCTATCGCAAGAACAGAATCCTACAAACAGACTCTACAACTTACAAGACCGTCCATCGGAATTGCGCTGGGTTCCGGTTCCTGCCGATTAAGCTGGATCATTGATACGTGGACAAGTAGCCCCGCGACTTCAGTGCGGACTCAAACTTTTATCAACCCGCTATAGATGAATCAATCCTCGGGCATACATACTGATAGATTCCAGATCTGCAAGGCTATGGAGCCTGCCATGGTAAGTTGATAAAGTCGACCGTTCCCATAGATTTCCCCGCTGAGCAAGCCAGCAGTTTTCCATCTGATACACTTCCGTCGTCACCTGTTCATACCTTGTGTTGTACCCAGGTCGATATAGCATAGTGCAGCAACGATGGAAGACGCCAATATAGAGCAGAGTTTTGAATTCGTTACTCGAGATTCGGTACCGGCCCCTGCCCTCGAACCCGATGACCCGCCCCAGAAACTCATCGCCGACCTCTGCGCATGGCTTCAGCCCACCGATTTTCTCTCACCAGGGAATGGTTTCATGAAGCACCTACGATCGCACGCCCCCGGTACCAGCAGGTGGTTCCAAAATTCATCTATCCTTCGTGCCTGGGCTGGCGTCCATGCAGATCCGGAGGCATCATCATGCCTCCACGTCTGCGGTGTCGCAGGGTCTGGCAAGTCTGTCCTTGCCGCCAACACCATCCACTGGCTCCAGCAGTCAGGCAGAGTTGTCCTCTTTTTCTTCTTCCGCCAGGTAGTCGATAAGAACCACAGAGCAAAGTACCTCGTGCGTGACTTTGCGGCGCAGTTGCTCCCTCATTGCCCTACCCTGGTGACGTCGTTGACGGCGCTGTCGCAGAATCATGCCATCAGTGACTGTGACATGGACTTGGTATGGCCCGCTATTACCAAGGCTCTTGCTGAGGAAGGCGTGGGGGAACAGGCCTTCTGTGTGGTCGATGCCTTGGACGAGATGGACGACTGCGACTTCGGTGATATGGCTCGACGGCTCGTCGCCCTTGGCACATCCAAGCCTGAGAAGATACGGGTTATGATGACGAGTAGGCCGCTATCTAAGATAGTGCAGGCGCTCGCAGACCCGCATATAAGGCAGTTCAAGCTTGACCTGGCCCTTCTTTCCTCGGATGTGGCTCGTTACGTCAATGACCGCATGGCTACCTTCGAGCCGGCCCTTGGCGATGAGAAGAAAGAGCTGGTGGCGAAGACCATTTGCGACCGGGCAGGCGGCTTGTTCCTCCATGCGCGGCTTGTGTTAGATAGCCTCGTCGAGGGGCTACAGGACGGTCGCATCACGGAAGCGACCCTACCTGACAGCCTAGACCGCCTCCCTCGGGCCCTACGCGGAGTCTATGAGAGCGCACTGACTGAGCATGCCCGACGCAGTGGCATAAAAAAGGAGCAGCAGGCCAAGATTCTCATGTGCGTGACGCATACAAGCAGGCCGTTGCGGCTAATCGAACTTGGCTCGCTACTTTCTCGTATGCTGAAGCTTGATCTCCGGCAGGGCAAGGATTTAGCCCGAGCTGCCTGCGGAAGATTGCTCGAGGTCCTCGAGGATGAATCTGTAACTGTGGTTCACCATTCCTTTACCGAGTTTCTACAAGATGTCAGTCGCGATGCTGATCACGCTGGATTTCCGGTGTTGGATAGCGTGACTTCACACAGCATGCTAGCGGTGCTGTCCTTGGAATATCTCAATAGCTGCCCAAAATTCGACATGACACTTGACGACAAAATGGGCGCAAACCAGGACTTCGGCTCTTATTTTCAAAATTGCTCGTACCATTCTTCAGAGAGAGCTAGGCGGGATGAAATCTGCACTGACACACGAATAAGTCACCCCCTGGCCGAGTACGCTGTGAGCAACCTCAGCTTTCATCTTGAAAGAGCAGCCGAAGGCGGTCCTACTTACCATCTCTTGGCCGCGCTTGATCGCTATTTCACACCTGGGAAACCTGCCCTGGAGAATTGGGCGCTAGTCATGGGCTGGCGAGGTCGATTATCGGCTTCTGTCAACGTCTTCCACTTGGCCGCCGCGATCCGAGACCACCAATCACTACCGCTGTTTGTCTTGGACCATTTCGCAAAGGCATGGCCAGACCTCCTGTCAGCTCGTGATTCGGATGGCCGCACACCGCTATCTTACGCAGCGCAAAGTGGCCAAGCCAAAATCGTCAGCTTCCTGCTTGCTCAGGGCTCGGATCCGGGCGCTTCAGGCAAGGATGGCTTGACACCCCTTCACTGGGCCGCGTATAACGGGCATCTATCCGTTGTTAAGCTTCTGCTTGATGCTGGCGCTGACCCCCTTACTGAACGAGGCCCGGTTCTTAAAGGGTATGAGGAGCGTGACGAAGAGAAGGTCGAGGCTTGGAAAGAGACCGCGCTGGGCTACGCGTTCGCAGGTGAAGATCCTCAAATGATAGAAGCATTTATGCCATTCATTCCACCTGATATGATTCACCGGTTCTTTCATGAAGGAAAAGATGAGAAGATCATTGAAGCTTTCCTCGATACGAGTACAGTGGATGTTGATTCCCTCTGGGAGGGAAAAACGAAACTCTATCAAGCAACAGCGAACTGCTGGCCAGGCGTGGTTGAGCTACTTATCAGGCGAGGCGCAGACCCAAACAAGAGGTGCTGGCCGCGCCGTGGCAGCATGGTGCAAGACGGGCCTGGTTATTATGAGGGAGGGCCAACACCTCTACACGGCCTCGCTATCCAGCGATCAACATATCGCCTGTCTAAGAGTGATCAAAAAGATGCGGAGCAGATTGTTCGGACGCTCGTTGGGGCTGGGGCTGATGTCAATGCCATTGTGGATGGCTGGGATGATGCCACGAGCATGACACCTTTACATCTCTCTCTCCGAAGCGCCGACTTACGTTGGAACTGGGACGGTTCCAACAAATCCGCAGAAATTCTCACCGAATTGTTTCTCACGATGGGTGCGGACCCCAAGGCGAAGACCAAGGATGGAAATACGCCTATTCACATTGCCGATCCTCGTAAGGCCCGGCTATTCGATGTACTTGTTAGCCGTGGGGCTGATATCAATTCCCGTAACGCTCTCGGGAGGACACCTTTCCTCGAGATTCTCTACCGCCTCGGCACCCAGTCCATCCATCAGTCCTTTCAGCAGTTGTGTATCGAGAGCTTGAACAAGCTGCTGGACCTCGACGCTGACCCAAACGCTGTGGACAACAACGGAGACACCGCTTTCCACCACATTCTCGGTTGCTTGAGGAATCTCAGCAGCCCTGAATCAGAATGTATACTTTTGCTAGAGAGGCTATTGCAAGCCGGCGTGGGTCTCAGCCGAAAAAATAAGAAGGGACAGCCTCCTCTCCTACGATACAATGGGGGGCATGAATACTTTGGGGCGGCAGATCACGATGACGAGAATACGCTCCGAGCCCTGATAAGCTTTGGGATGGACGTTAACGTGAAGGATGATCTAGGTCGAAATGTCCTCTGGGCCATCACGGAGCCAAGATCTGAAGATCTCAACGTCCTCAAAAGGTTCATAAGGCTCGGTGCCAATGCTAAAGAGCGTGTAAGCGATGGTCGAACGTTGCTGCACGCCGCAGTAAAGCACGGGAGGTCAGCTGATTGGATTCGTTTCCTGGTCTCGGAAGGCGTAGATCCAGCCATCACTAGTGCCGACGGAGACACTCCTATTCATACCTTACTTGTGGAGCTGCAGAGAAGATCTCTGTCCAGCTGGTATGCCCAAAATACGCTTCCAGTGCTAGTCGACATTGGTGTCTCGCCGCTAGTTAGCAATGCGAAGGGACAGACAGTTCTACACCTGGCGAGGGACTTGCACACTTTGGAGTGTATTGTTACTGCATCCTACTTTCAAGGTCTGGACATCAACCAACCTGATATTGATGGCTTCACGCCGCTTCATTTTGCTGTCCAACTTGGGGAAGTTGCGGCAAGTGTGCACGTCAAGTTTGGTGCTAATCCGATGGCGCTTTCTGCAACTGGTCTTTCGCCGCTTCACCTCGCCGCTCGCCACGGTGAGGCTGGCGCTGTAGTCATGCTCTTAGCCAAATACCGGGAACGCGGTGTGCTCGGGAAGTACGTCAATATGATCGGTGAAGGTAGAACGCCACTCCACTATGCCTGCCGATCAGGAAGTCCAGAGAGCGTCTGGGCCCTGTTATGTAACGGAGCGGACCCTCGACGTGAAGATGAGATGGGGCTGACACCACTGCATGCCATGGCTGAAAGCCATGGCTTGTCATGTCTGGCAAAACTGCCAGAGGCTCCCACTCATGCTGTCGAGATGATTGAGATGCTCCAACAAGCAGGTGTTGATCTCACAGCCGAGACTACAATCAGGACAGGAGATTGCGACGAGACAAGAAAAGCTTCACCTTTGGACATGGCGGTAGAACTAAGGTCATGGGGAATGGTCAGAGAACTGCTTTCACGAGGAGTGAAGGCTCGTGATAGGCACAGTCAGTCTAAAGAGTTCATCTTGGTCACGGACAAGGACAAAGCCGTTGAGGAAGCGCGGGTATCGCAAGCAAGACCGCCGGGTGAAGAGGGCATCTCAGGCCATGATTGGCACTGGCGAGGCCGCTGGGCAGTTGGGGTGGCGCCGGTTGAAGAACGAACTCGCTTTATTTTTGGTGGCCAAGCGATCCTGGACGCGCAGACTGATTTCAAGGATGGCAAGCCTCTCCACCTAGATATGCTATCCGCTGCGCTGAAGGACGGCGATTATGACAGCGTAAAGGAGTATGCTCGGCTTGGGGGTGATGTTCTTGCACTGGGATTTGGCCACGAGGGAAACGACACAATGCTTCATTGCCTCGTCAAATGGGGGTGCGTGAAATTACTTGGGCACTTTTGCAATAGTGCTGTGAAGCTGGAAGCTCAGGTGAGGATTCAAGAAGGAGGTGGATTCTGTGGCACGTTGCTTGGCACGGCCTGTGAGCGATCTCTCCCGTCTCTACACATAATCCAGTTGCTCATAGAGAGAATTGGAATTGACGCCAATGTCGTAGATGGCCGGAGCGGGGGAGCAGCAGTTCATATCCTCGCTCAAGGTGGACACTGGTGGCAAGTTGAGGCGTTGAAGTACATTCTCGCCCAAGGAGGCGACATCGAGGCGCGGAACAAACTTGGCATGACGCCGCTACTTGCGGCCATCTATCGAACTCGCCCAGGCTCTCTTGGGAGGTGGAACGAGGAAGCGGTTCGCGTGCTGCTGGAACGCGGAGCCAACCCCAACGCGGCTGTCATGGTCAGGAAGATGGACGGTACGACAGAGCCTGGCCTCTCGGCACTGGAGATGTGGGGAGAGCCCGGTATCGTCAGGCTCTTGCTAGTCTACGGTGCAAGTATGAAGGACTTCACAGGGCTTGTGGCTCGGGCAGTAAAGGAAACCATGGAGCCTAGGACGGTGAAGCTGCTGTTGGACGCTGGCGGGGATCCAAACGAGCTGTCGCAGGTGGCCAGTCACCGACAAGTTGCCGAGTACCACAACAGGGACATTGAGGAATCAGAGCAGCAGGGTGTAAGAGAGGAAGAGGAAGAGGAAGAGGAAACTGAAGAAGAATACGTCAGAAGAAAGATTCATCGCGAATTGGGGGCGCACCAGCGGTTTGAAAACCCGCGTTATGCACTCCATGAGGCGGCTCGACCAACCGAAAGTTCCTCTTCACCGGCTGACTATGAGCAGCGGCAACTAGCTATCATAGACCTGCTTCTGTGCGGGGGTGCTGATCCTTGGGCCACTTACCCAGATGGCAGTTCTGCCCTGCAACGTATCATAGAGGACCGCGGCCTGATTGCTGGGTTGATTCCTCGCTGTACTGGGGAGCACATAAACCGCAAGGGTAGCTGCGGCCGCACACTCCTGGCTTCAGCCTGCATTCCCCTCTGCCGAGCCGGCTATCATTACTTGGTAAGTTTACAGTCAATATAGTGCTATGATTTACGAGCTTCTTGGGGGTCTTCCGATGCTGATATAGGAACGTGCTCTTAGGATGCAAGGCCAAAGACTGTAATGACTGATACAGTCCACGTCCTCTTAGAGCACAGAGCAAAACCTCTACTTGCGGACGATGAGGGTCGCACGCCATTACATTGGTTTTGTACACTTGATACTGAGTTCGATGAGCCTCATCGGAAAGCGTTCGTTGCTCTGGTAGACCACGGCCCAGACGCCGTTCATATGGCGGATCTCAAGGGCCGCAAACCTATCCACCTCGCCTTGGAGAAGTACGAGGACCGTTCTCAGATGTCTACTTTTGCTATCCGCCACCTCATGGCAGCAGGTGCTGAGATGAGCGAGCCCGACCCAGTAACAAGCAACTCGGCACTCCATACGATCGCGCCCCGTTTGGTAGGTGAGAAGACAGCGGCCGGCGATGCGGCTACTCTCTTTCGAGACGTAGCAATCGCCGTTGACATCAACACGCGGAACGCCTCGGGTGAGACACCCGTGTTTAGCTTCATGGCAGCTGGGTGGAAGGGAACACGCGACGCTGATTATGCAATCGCCCACGATGTGTTTCACGACACCTCCTTAGCTATGTTTATAGAGCTTGGCGTAGACCTGACGGCCGTGGACGCCAAGGGACGGACGTTATTGCACGCTGTGGCTGATAGGAATGTTAGAGACACAGGTGTCAATTGGGACCAGATGGAAGATGTCGAGAGGTCTTTCCAAGTGCTGATGGAGCTCGGCGTTGATCCCCACAAGGAGGACCAAGACCTCAAGACCGCCGCTGATGTAGCGGTCGCGAGACAATTAAGAAGGGTTGTTGATCTGTTCGGCGAAAAGGACAAGATCGGAGAAGACGACAAGGAATAGCGACGGCGATGGAGGCAGCGGAACTACCAATTTTGATCCATCTATTTATTCCCATTCTAAGAATTACACGAACCGCATCTCTGAGATTCTAGTTACATACTTCTTCTGTGGTAGTGCGTCGTCTATGAAAGTGAACCCATCGGGTCCATGAAAACTAAGACGTAATGACTTAGAAAATGCATCTCCATTTCCAGTTTCTATTGTCGCGAGTCTTATACTATAAATGTCATTCGAAGTGGATGTTGGCAAGTTTGGGCGGTAAGCACTATACCATCAACACACCGTCCGCCTAGCCCAGAGTCAATCTAGCACCGCGAAACCAGAGGACCGCGGGCACCGAGTCGGAACAGGAAGACAATTTCTTCCGTCCTCTGGGGAACCGGCCGCTAAACTCCCTCCCCGGCCCGAACCTCCGCGCCAGCAAAAGGTCCGATACCCCGGACCCCGGACCCCGTGCCCCCCTCCCCTCCCAAGAGAAATTCATCTACTCTAAACCTCTGAAATTCAGGCACATATCACTCCTACTAACATATCAGCCTTCACAGCATAATGACCCCCCTTAAGAAATGTGGCATGATGAGATGAGTATAGGCGCAGGAAATCAGGCGGTTTGGATACCTTTTCTTGGAAAGGGTTCAAGTCGGCAGATGCCGTCAAACATTCAACCACTGCTGTGACACCGTCTAAGAAAAGAAGTTCTAGAATCTTTTCCTCGCCTTCCTGTTCTTCTTCCCTAATGCTGCTGAAGCTTGACTTACACTCACCCCACAAAGTAAGCCTCGTCCAGACGGAAGAGTAACATCTAACAGGAACCAAAAACAGAAAATAGAACCCAAACCCACGCCTCAACGTCGTACCTATCCCTCGCCAAACACAGAACACCAAAAGAAGCGGATTAAACAAGACCCCCCAAAAAGGGCTGAGAGAATATGCAATATACGTAAAACCATCAACTTCCATCTCAAATCCACCGCAAACATGCGGCCGCATAGCGTCCGAGTTGTATAAGTCCAGTCTAGATGCCTTGGCGTTCGAACTCTCCCCAACCCCACACAGTGAATGGTCGTGAATAGATTGGGCCGTGTGGGATGTGAGAGGCTCCAACGCCAATAGCTTGTTCCTGCGTTCTGATACGCGTTTAAAGAGCTGGTTTCTTCTCTCTCCAGGCTGTGACGTTTCTAGAAGACTGGATTGGACTGACGCAGTAGGCGAGATAGGCGGAAGACCAGGTCGTGGTTACAGATACCCAATAGATATTCCGGCCTCAAGATCCCTTCTATCACGGCGCTCGCGCGCGGGAATGCGCGGGCGTCCAGAGACATGGGAGCAGGCGAGGGGGCAGTTTGAACGTGTGATATTACGATCCTTATCCCATAGAACCAAATGCTGACCCCATGTCAACTCCACGCCCAAGGCTGAGAGACTCAAACAGCAAGAATACCTACCTACCTAACCCAAGAGAGAAGAACTAGACACAATGAGAACCACCAAGGCTGAAGAAAAAAAACATGGGTACATCCTTTTTTTGGACACCCAGGCGCTCGATTTCCAGGGGCTCCGCCAGCCAAAACAAGCCGTCGCTCGTCCTCCCCGAGACAAGGGAACCGTGACGTCTGTAAGGTAGCCATGTGGGAATCCCGAACTTGACCCCTCATTATCTACCCTTCCACTCCCTTTCTCCCGCCAGCCCGCCCACGTCGACTGCGTAGATCTAGATCCACCTCGCTTGGGGCACATTCACACCGTGTCCACCACTCCACAACCCGCTAAAGAAAGAGGCTCTTTTCTCCCACCCTTCACCTCACGCACCACCGCCATGCGTCCGTCCATCCATCATCTGTTCCTCGACTCGCGCAAGTGTATCATCTGAACCACCTCGCCTCCAGCCCCAAACCTCACCAGCAGGCCATGAGCGTAAAGGCGCGGACGCGGGGGAATGCACCAATCACATCACCCATGCCCCTTCCCAGAAGCCTTCCATCCCAAATCTGGCAGGTATTCACCCAGGACCAGGACGCAGCAAAGATCGGATGAGATGATGCGCGTCATATTTATCATTCGGCACCTACCCCCAAAAACCTGTCAGCCAGAGAGCCCGTCGGCGCCGACGGAGGCCGGCCCCATCGGCCGCGGTGTGGGGGCTTGGCATTCCTGTAACCCGCGGAAGGCTGTGCGGCGTGCCTGAGTATGTGGCCTCGCTGCCGCCCCTGGTGGTGGCCCTGCTTGCTGCTCTTCACTTCGTAGCATGGAGTATGTTTACATTCTAAGATGTACCTCATAGTAATAATACAGTTCGTCGGCGTCGTTGACGACAGGGTCGGACTGCATCAGAACCCCGCGTTCCGCTTCTGCCGTTTCCTGCCGTATCGCGCCATCCATCATGATTCCTTTCACTCCCCTGGGAGGTGTCAAAAAATTCAGCCCTTCCCGTCGTTGCAGAGCCCCATTCCTAATTCTATACAATGTACACGACCCTCGGTTATCCATTGTGCCCTGTTTTGCACTATACCAAAGAGAAAGAAGAACCGTTCGACGCCAGTAGCACACACAGACATGCACATGTCATGTCCCTGGCGTGTCTCAAAATATGTGCCCCAGAACCCAGACGCCGATCGCTATGCAAACCTCTAAATGCAACCCCGTCAGTGCCCTCGCTGGCCTGACGGCACCACCACCATTCTTCTTCGTCTCAGACGGCACCGGCGACGGCGCTGCCGCCGTCGAAGGCACGTCGATTGTGGTAATCACCGTCGGCCCAAACGGGTACGGAAGAGTAATCGTCGAAACGACCACGCCGGACGGACCAATCGTGATGGTCTCGCCGCCGAACACCTTTGTCGTTGTCCCCTTTCCTGGCCCCACCGTGAAGCTTGTGCCGTCTACAACCACCACCGATGCCCCGACTTGCGTGACTGAAGCACCGCCGACGATCTCGTAAGTGGTGTCCGTTGCCTTTGCCCCGGGTCCTCCCACAGTGGTGTTGCGCACAGAAACCCCAGAGGGTCCTATTGAGATAGTATCGTCATCTACAACCTTTGTGATGACTGTTGAAACTAGTCCGTATGTAAAAGTGGTCGACCGAATGACGACCACAGATGGGCCAATGGCAGTAATCATCTCGCCGCCTGCCACGACAATCTCCGTTTGGACTGGGGACGTGCGGCTGATCGAAACGGTTCGTTTGGGGACGGCCACCACTGCGGATGGCTGGATTGTCGTCTTCTGCCCATTGATCGCGGTCGTTAGTGGAGCAGAGCGGCCGGATGAAACGATTTCTCCGGACACACCAGCCGCTGATGGCACAAGTGTGATGGTTTGCCCTTTCACCACCGTCGTTACCGGAGCTGCACCGCCGATTGGAGCGTTTTGATCCGGGACAATGACGGCGGACGGCTCAATGGTGATCGTCTGGCCTTCCACCACAGCCGTTATGGGGGTAGCCTGCACCCCAAACGTCGTCCCGCCGACGACAACGACGTTTTGCGTTCCTGCGGGCGCAATCACAATAGGCAAGTCGCCCACCACCGTGCTGGATGGGACCATGGTGCTTCGACCGACGTTACCAGGCCGATCGACGATCGTCCCACCGCCAATGACCTCGCTCGGGTTAATCGTGAATTCATCGCCGTTGACCGTCACCTTGGTCGTCCCTGAAGGATCGTTCTGCGTAAAAGTTTGGTCGTTGATAACGATCTTGGTTGGCGCTACGGTAATCATGTAGGTCGCCTTGGGCGGTTCTTTGGCACTTTCACGTGGCGAGCCAGATGGTCTCGGATCGTTATTGGGTGACTGCGTCGAGGGCGTCGGTTTCGGCGTTGGCTTTGCTGTGGGTTTCGCAGATGAGCGTCTGTCTTGCGGGGCTTGTGTCTCAGGATCGTGACCGTATCGGGGTGTACTGATAGGCGAGAAGACCACAGAAGGATTTTTGGCCGTGGTGACGAAAGTGACAGTCGTTTCTGGACCAAGGGTTGAACTAAAGGTTGGAAACTGAGGAGCTTCGGTCGTGCAAATATCCACACCATCCTCCGAGGTACACGAAACACTCGCAGACACTTTTGTCTTCCCCTTGCCTTCTTCCAGACCCGCAGGACTGCAGGTGATTGGGATCGTGATTTCGGGTTCCGGTGGAGTGTAATCCGTAGGATCCCCGAATATTGTCGTTGTTGTCGTGTATACTATTGACCAAGTTGTCGGTACGGCGCCCTGTGTAGTCGATATGCAGACAACAGGTGGCTCATAACCACCCTTGAGTGTCAAGGTCACATAATCCCCACCGCCATCGTCTGTGGGCGAGCCGCTATAATTTCCATTTGTGTAGTTTCCGCTAGGTGACGCGGATATTGAAACGTTGCTGATAGAAAAGAAAGATCTGATACCCGTGGGAGTTGCCGATAAAGACGCCGTGAACACAGTACGGGTTTGGTTGCCAGAGGCCGCGATGTTGAAACCTACTGACGTCGAATCTCGGGTAGAAGCAGTGGAGGGGGTCAAGGCTCCAGTGAATGAAGATGATCCGCTGGATTGCGAGGTCGTCGCATCTGTCGTGGTGACAAGGGCTGTGATTTGCGTTGTGCCATTGGCTAGGGCCAGTGTGCTTCCTGCGGCGGCCGAGATCTGCGAACTGGTTTCGTCTGATGTCGTCGAAAATGAGCTGCCTATCCTTGACTCTCCTGTTACTGAGGAGATCCCTATTGAACTTTGAGATCGTGCTAGCTGGTTGATTGAGGTAGATGAGAGAGTTTCGGTCCCGACTGTGCTAGTTGACGGGTTTCCTGCTTGGGTGATTGAGCTGGTAGATGAAGACGTAATTTGCAGTACAGAGCTTGTTGCGGTCGATGATGTCGTGCTATTAAAGCCGACGGCCTGTCTCCTGCCGTGAGGAATGTGATTTACTGCCATGCAGTCAGCTTCTCGGTCAATTTTTAAAAAATCAAATATCAGCCAGCTTACCAAATTGCAGAGCTTGGACTGGGTTCGAGAATGCCGCCAGGGAAAGCAACGCGAGCTTGAGGAGTTTCATATCAATGCGTCGTCTCGAATCGCAGTTCCTCCTTCTCCCACGCATCCTTGCCCCCTTTGACGGTCAACCCTACTCGTAGCCGTGACACACGAACTGACACGGCGACGACGACCAAGTACTCGTGGCTCTAGAGTGGTCATGTATAGCCCACACGCGCATT